TACAGCCCTAAGGAAGCCTAATGTTAAGGCTATACGGGAGGTTGACTCGGTGCTTTCAGTTTTCTTTGTCCCTAGCTTGCGACATAAGAAACAGAGAACTGAATTTCATCTGACCTTGAAATGATTATGCATAGGCAGGTCCATGTGCTCATCTTTTTAATAAGGAAACCATTTTTCAAGATCAAAAGAAAATCGCTCTCGTTACATTTTTCTCTGAATATTTCAGTTCTTACCATAATAATAAACCAGTTATTGACCACTGTCAGCGCAAAAAGAGTCACTGCAAGAAACAAATGGAAAGTTTATGTCAGTTATCCCTAAAGAAAGGTTATACGTGGTTATCGGGCTTAATGAAGAGTCTTACCGTATGAATGCAGTAAGGTGTCGAAGTTATTTAAATAATAATATCCAAACTCTTTGTAACTTTCCTCATATGAAGTGTTTCTGTACAAAAAAAAAATACACGCAAATAACATTAACTTTTCAATGCCTAAAAATGACAACAAAAGAAAAAAGAAATGGTATCATTGAAAAGCACCCATAAAGAGGTTTATTGTGAATTCTCACACCACGGGATACCCCTACAGACGTATAAAATGGGCTTAGCGCTGACTCTTTGGTGGAATGGGTTATACGGAGACGGAAGGACCATAGACACTTAGTACTCCCAGGACAAGAAAATGAAGTCAAAAACAATTAAGAGATATACTTACAGACAACAGTTACGGAGCTGAAGACCCGAAAAGCATTCTATTGCAATAATCCCAAACGAATAATATAGGAGAATGATTACTAGAGCCACCCTATGGAGGAAAAGTGTTTTTACATTATTCTCCTTGATTTTCGCATAAGAAGACTTTGATGTCATTTAAACATAATTATTATCACGACACGCGGCCAAATGACAAACTGCCCTCTCTAACGCGTTCCTTTTCGCGGGCCAAATGGCAAAGTGGGGGCTGTAAATGGAATTTGCAGCCTGCAACATGATTTCATGTTAAACAATCTTTTCTTATGAAATAAATTTGCACGATTTGGCCCTGTGTATTTATAATACTGATAATCACATGACGTTTGCCGGGCATATAGTTTATTTGTGTGCCTCGTAGAATCTGGGCGCAAATGATGCTTCCCGGGCCACAAATAAACTATATGCCCTCCAAAAGTCATGTGATTGTCCTATTAACAGATCATATCCCATAGACTAGGGTTTCAGATTGTTGGCAGGCTGTAATAATACACATAGATGTTGTTCTCTCTCTATGTACAATGTAGACTTTAAACTGGACATCACTTTCTAAAAAAGAGTCTTTCCACAAAAATCCTTATTACCTGTAGTCTGATTGTCGATTCACCTAAACGCTAACATAGCTTTCGTGAGATAAATGGGTAGCCTGAAAGTTAAATACGCCGCAGTTTTCTTTCCCGGTTACCCCGCCACTGAATAAAATAAGTCTTGTAATAGTTAAGTGGGAATTGGAAAAAAAAACAATGGAAATACAGTCGAATTTAAACTAACAGCCATCTCTCTACAACGCCCACGGCCACTAACACATGTCCCCAACTGCCAAAATAAGCTATCGACAACGGCCAGTTTTTTTTCAGCGGCTGATGAAAAAGTCAAGAATGGTCAAGAATTAATTCGTACGGCACGTTTATGATCAATCGCGGCAATCATATTTTGATTTTGCTCAATTTATACTGCTGGAGTAAGCAAAGATTGTCTAAGATACTTACTGCGAATGTTGCGAACCTTGCTCGTTTTGGCACGTTAACATTTTGATTCAAGACATAATTCAAGCTTTTTGTGTATTTCATCTCTATACATTATACATGATTGGATTACCATGATTATGGGACACAGTTAGCACAAAAGAACATGCTGTATTCTTGTCTTATAACACCCCTTCCTCCCCATATCGTCCACCTCTCCACAACGGCCACTTTCTTCTGTCCTCAAGGTGGCCGTTATGGCGAGGTTCGACTGTAAGAAGAAATGGGAAACACCTAAATGAACTCAGGAATATTTAACTATTGGTGCATTGTTGTATGGGTAACACAACTTCTTTTTGGGTGAAAGGAACTTAAAGCAACTGTATCGCAAACGCGGAACGTCCGTCAAAACCTCGAATTACTCTACTATTTACATTTTGCATCTGTGTAGGCATCGATATGCCATAGTACCTGAGCATTCGTGGTAGCAAAACACCTGCCGTCTCAAATACATCACGGTATCTCTCCTTAACCTTGAACAGTCTGAGAGAAAAACAAAATGCACCATCATTTCAACCTTTGAAGTCCTTGCTTATGTTATGATTAAAAAATGGCGCAAGCAATTGAGACCGGCTTTGAATTTTGTGGTTCCACCATCTCTTCAGAGACCAACATTTCTAAATTCCAATTCAATCCAGAATAGTGTAGGCAAAGAACCACACTGTGGAAGTGACTTTACGTCATATTAATTAATTCATTAATTTGTAATAGATTTTCAGACTGAAATAACGCCAACTGCAAGCTTGAGTTGGCCGAGTTATAGTTTGTTTTGAAGGACTACAGTATCTATTGGCATAGTACTGGTAGGTAAAAGAAATGCACTTTGATGGAGCGCACAGCAATGAGTTGGCCATTATCTCTTACATCCAAAGGGCTTTACCGGAATAACTGCCTTCTTTAAAAAGATGGACCATAACATATAAAGGTGATTTAATGCCGACCGCTTCTTACCGGGAGAGGCATGATGGTTCAAATATTTAGCCACTAAGTCAATCAAACCTATGGAATCGCAAGACAAAATGATTCAAATTTTTACACAAAGAACTTACCGCAAAAGCCTCAAAGGTCTGAGACACACTATAAAACTGAGGGACGCGGGGCTGACAGCTCCAATGAAACCAAACAAAGTCACAAAAAAATCAAATCTGCAGGACAAGAGGTGTGTTACGAAAGGACAAAATGTTAGTTGATCCATACGGAATCCAATCTTAAATGATTATAGTAATCATCATCACCATCATCATCATCATCATCGTAATAATGAGGGTGCCAACTTTCATTATTGGCAGCCAATGGCTGAAATGCGGAGGAACCAGAAAGGTGAGATCAGACGTCAATGTAAAGGCGCACTATACTTACTAACAGCCCTGCACTGATTTATGCATTTTTGCCTACAATGTGGAGATTTTTGTAGTGAAAACAGAAAGAGGAGAGGTGACTAGTACAGTAAAAACCCGCGAGTAAGAACCAGCATTTTCCCACGTTAGCCTAAAAAGGTTCTTAATTTAGGCTATAGGTTCTTAAATAGGTTCTTATTTTCTGAAGAAAAAGTACATGGCAGCAAAGAGTATTAGTGGTATTATCTACATACCAAATTTATATTTATGTAAAAATGACTATTAGAAGAACAACTGAAGCAATGACCACATGAATTTTGAAGTTCGTTTGCCTAAAAATATAGAATTTTTTTTAAAGATTTTAGAAAATAAGAACCTGTTTCAAATTTTAGGCTAAACAGGTTCTTGTATAGAGGGTGTCTAACTGGCAAATATAGGCCTAACAGGTTCTTAAAAATCAGTTTCTTGCTCGGGGTTTTTTACTGTATCAGTAAGGACCCTTTTAACCTTAAGATCCAAATCACCAAAATGTTTAACGTTTAACCTAAATATTAATGTAAACGTACGAATCAAAACTGGCTATCATTAACAATACTTACAAATTCCAACCGGATAGTAGGTACTTTCTCAATCCATAACCGACTATTTTTAAAAATGCTTCAGCTGTGTAAACTAAGAAACACGAGCATAAAGTAAACAAATGTTTACAAAGAGTTATCGGCAATCATGTCAAACCCCAAGGCAGACATCTCTGCACTAAGACAAAGTCACCAGGGCAATGCGCGAAGAAAGTCATCTAGTAACTAGACTGTACTAGTCCAGCACTGGTCTAAACTGTGTCCTGTTAACTGCATACTCTTTCCGATCTTCACTAAAGTCAAGTGCTGGGTTTCTGTAGCTATTGCTTAAGACTGAAAAACTCTCTTTTTTTCATTTTCAGAATTAAAATACAAGAAATGTAACCAAACAACATAACCAATAAACAACTCACTAGAAATGAAGACAACATGATACCATTTGATTTCTTCTCTTTGGTTGGCTCTCTCCCTCTGTGGAGTGTCTGTAAATTATGAAATTCCTGTCAGGAAGACTTATATATCTTTGGACAAACTTACATCTGTTGGATAAAAAATGTTTTGAGCTCCATCTGATTCTAGGTGAAGCCCAGCCCCTCAAACAACAAAATATATAGCACACCCTAACACATTCATGCTACAAGGTTTTTTAGCACTGGCATTAATAACTGCTCATTATGCTTAGCCTCAGAAAAGTAAGAGCAATGGTTTAAGTGTTTACATTATGATCTCTGGGTTTGAAAATGTATACTTTTACTGAAAACAACTTTTAATAAACTCTGGAAAGGTAAATTTTCATTAGGACATTAAAAGAGCATTTTATGGTAGCTGCGCATGAAAAAGCGACACTAGCCTGAAAATCAAGCTTTTCTAGTAGAAATTAGGAGAGGGAGCATTTTAATTTTCTCTCCCCTTATTCAGGCCCTAGGAAGGTCATACTTGGGTTGTAAAATCATCAACGTGTTTCTAAAAGCTCACTACTTACTGGAAAACACAATAATATCAACAATAAATGTTACTCCATTTACAATGATCACAAAATCTGCAAAAGAAATCATTAAGGGAAGTACATGAATTTTGTAGTCATTGTTATAAGATGCTATAAAGGCTTTAATAGTGCTGGTAGTCTGTGCATAGAGATGTATTAAATCAGCTAGGGGATGCACCCCTGATCTAAGGCTTACCAACTTCAACAGCAGCAAAAAATCCAACAAAAATGACAATTAAACGTCACGGAACAAGTGAAGATCCTCATTATCAAATTTCTTCTTGTCGCATGAATGCTTTTCAAAACACATTGGTGATGGGAGGACAAGATCACAAAAGATCTAGATACATCTAACAATTGATACTTCAATGAATTCTCCCCAGTACTTCGGTTGGAAACTTAATTATAGGGACAACAAGTGAGGCTCTGAATTTTGATATTGGGGTTGTAAAAATTCAGCTTATACATGCTGTAGTTAAGAGAACTTACAAATGAAGTATTCAAATCGTTTACTTGTGATCATCCTTTGAATACCTGTAACAACATGAATAACATGAGGGGCTGTCAAAAAGTTTTTAAGTAGCAGGCTGATAATGAACAGTATGCGGCTTTGGAACTCGCACCAAAAGCACAAGCTCTTGAGGGCCGAGGCATCTAGGGACATTTTGAAAATTAGACTCTCAGAAATGGTGTTTCCAGGTATTTTCAAGAGGTGTTTTCAACCACAGACGCCATGTTGTTTCGTCAGAAAACACACAACATTCTGGGAACAATGCTGTCGAAATGTCCCAGGCATTCCAAGTCATTGTACGGTTCAAACATTTCACAGGTCTAAACCTGTTTAAACATGCGTTCAATGTCATTCAAAACTGGGAAACAGATGCTTTACAGTTTTATTTGATGGTGCTTATTTTTTGTTAGCAGTTATGTTAGAAGAAGATGAAAGTAGCCTGCTAAGGATCGCTAACTTGCCGGCAGTTTTGGCCAGCTACTGGCCCTTATTGACTACCCTGAACATGGAGAACTTGTCAGGGACTGCAGCGAGGGTGTGACCAGGGAAGGGAGGCTGAAATGGTCAGAAAAAAACCCAACCTTTTACCTGGTTTACTTTCAATCATCAAATTCCATGTAGTTAGTCCCGCGTAAGCAGCAAGACTCATAATCTGCAAGCCGTTTTTTGTTGTATTTAGGACATAAAAAGGGGTCATACTCCCAGGCGTTCCTAGCGGACACTGTGGAAACTGGGAATAAGGAACTGACCAAAGCCACGCATGTTTTGTGAAGAAAGCTTAGGAAAGATTAAATTTACAGCTTTTCCAGAACAGCTCGGTCCATGAATTATGTCGCTTGAAAGCGTTGATTACTTTGGAACATGTGAACACTTCAGTGGTCGAAAAAAAGAAGAAGAAGAAGAAGAAGAATCTTAATTAGCAAAACTTTGATTGCAAACTTTCATTGTATGCAAATGAGTCTTGTGATGAGCGTGTGGTTTATTTTTGGCAATGATTGAAATGATGCACAATGTGCTCATCATGTTTTTTATCTCTGGCAATGATGTAATTTCTCTCGAATCAAGGCCCTTGAATTTTCATGTAATTATACATGCATATAGCCTGCGACCACGGACGTATTTCCGGTGGTCGCTAACATGTGTATTAAATCAATTCAGAGACAAATCATCGAATATGATATAAAAAGTAAATATATATCCTGAAGAATACTCGACCATTCACCTTTAGTGAGTAAATCCTGTTTCATGTAGAATTGATCACCTCCTCGTTTGTTATCTAGTCTCCAAGCAAGTGAGACTAAATACCGATTTTATGAGTGTTTTGTTTTCCATAGTTTCCCATATTTTATATTTTGATCACAATTATGATGAAATCAAAGCAAAGCCAGGGTGAGTTTTGCTTGTTGCTTGAAATCTCTTTTAAAAAAATGAATGGACCCAGTTAATGTTTGAACAAAAATTCACCAAATTAGAGTTGACACATTTCAATTCACAGGTCTACCAAGCAACATTCACATGTGAAGTACAGTAACCATAGTGCAGAAGCACTAGGTAGCACTGACCTTTGATAGTATGGTACAGATACTTCCATGATCGTTTGAGAACACGAAACCATTGCTCGGAGTCCTTTGTGATCTGAAAAGAAAAGAAACTAATCTTACTGTTGTTCCTCTGCTCTGGCAAAGACTTACTAGAAACAACTATTTCTAAGACTCATAGCAAAAAATGTTTAAAACAAATATAGAATGTCTTCATTGAACGCCATTGCAATGAAACAAAGAAAACCCTTTCTGAATAAGGATGACAGACTGGACCTCCTGGTCATTTACAGTCCTCTTTGGGAATATGTACCAAATTTGTCCATTACATAACCAAAACTCATTTTACCTTTGCTAATGAAGTTCAAGTGATTCCAACAAAATATTCCAGTCATTTTAAAACCTTTTTGCTCTGAGTTTTGGAAACATATGTTTCTAGAATAACTAAATTTAAAGTTTGGTATTTCACACACCTCAGACCCAATACATAATATCTGAATTCCACACTCCATCTTAACCCATTTGCCCCCTGGGCAAGTAAATGCCAGATTGTCTGTGACACTGATGACATCACTAGTAGTACAAGGCACAAAAAAATTGGATCTTCACAAGGTGTTTTGGGCAGTTCGGGTGTAAATAGGTTAATTTTGACCTGCTGAATCACTCTATCGATCCCAACAACATACAACCACCTATAGACAAAACACAAGAAAAATATCCAAAACTTTGCTTCCAATCTACCAACCAAGCTAAGTGATTTTGCTTCTGTCTTGTTCAGACATACTACAGCCTTTTTTTTTTTTTTTTTTTTTTTTTTTTTTGGGGGGGGGGGGGAGGGTCCCAGGGCATGCACATAAAAAAAAAACATTTCATGACACCCTGAAACAAGAGCTCTGTACAGTCCAATTAAATAATATTATTATAAGTACGTAATAAAAAAATATATTCATAATAAATTGAATTGTGAACCCTAGCTTTCCCTCATAGACTGAATGAAATAGGAAACATTTGAGTCTGTAGACAAAATTTTCCACACGGTACTATTTATTTCTAAGTCAGCATTTTGCAACAAGGCAATTTTTTTACTTTGGCATCTTCTGGGAACGGAAGGATTATAACAAGGCATACATACTCTTTTCCACTTCATCTCACTGTTTTCAAAGACATGATAAAACTCCTCCAAACTAGCAACAAAAGCAAGAATAAAAAAGTTAAGATTTAGTGACTGATAGAGGGCTGCATGGATTTAATTGGATAAACTAGAATAGTATAATAATATTAGGTATTACGAAGCCAAAAATTACTTGTTTGTACCTTAATTGTTTTGTCTGGCTTGTGTTCAGTGACTTGAATACAATATATTTCTCCACAAGTGCTGTGTAAGAAATAAATATGCACAATAATTTATTAATCTATATTCCTTTTTTCAGAGAGAAAGCGGATATTAATGGAAAAAAGAAAAGAACCCCTCATCTATCTGATCACAGGTTACTGTCACAGGTAAAAAATTAAATTCAGCTTAAATTTCTTTTAAACTACCGGTAGATTGATTCTCAATTTCTGTTGTCTCCTGTAGCCCCGATCATTCACGACTTAGGGGAATTGAGAATCAACCAAGGTTAAAAAATTTTAACCTGAATTTAATTTTGACCTGTAACATTACCACCCATCAGTGTGGCTTCAGGTTTGAATCCTGGGAAAAACTTTACGTGAGTTCAGTTTTTGTTACTTCAACCTTCATATCTCTTGCACCAAAAGGTTTTTCTCTACGTATTCGTGTTTTACCATAATATTATCATAAGCCAACATTTTGAATTCAATTCAGAATAGTACATAAATAACGGGGCATGGCAGCGTAAAATGAAGACTGTGGACTGACTGCAGACTATTGTTTTTAAGGTTAGAAAACAGTGAGACTATGGGTATCACGTTCTCATTGGCATGGTCAAGTCAGCAGCCTGAATTTTACACTGAACGCATAAAGAACGGCTTTGTGCCAGATGTGATACCACTTAATCAACAATATTCAGACAATACCTAACTTTGTTTTGCTTTCATGTGTATGTGTTTTTTCCCAGCTCACTTGCATTACAGAAATAGAGTGATAAACTGTGTTGATGTGACCAACCAAGGGCCATGAAAAACTACAAAAAACTGACTGGTTGTGCTAATGTTTGGGCAGTGATACAGTAAGAAGCTAGAAGCTGGTCACCACTAGGGCATAAGGTAGGATATGTAAGAAACCTAATGTAACGTAAGTTAAAAAAGTAAAACAACAAAGTAAAGAAAGGAAACTTACTGCTCTTTGGTTTGTAGAAGGACATCAAGCCAACAAAATGTTGTAAAGGGATCCAATGAGGAGGCTATAGCAAAATATTAAACTAACTCTTAGCAATTTGTAAATATGTGAATTATTTAAATAAAAAGGTGTTTTAACGGTGTTACTTTGATGCCTAGGGTGGTTAGAGCGCCGGACTTGTAATTTGGAGGCCTTGAGTTAAAGTCCCAGCCCTGAATGCTAGCTGGATTGGTTCTCAGTAGTCCTGAGTTCAAATCCTCAGCCAGGCTTGTAAATAGCCAGCTGGTTCGCCTCCTACCATTGCGGTTTTTAACCATATTATGTGCCATTTAAATTATTTGTTTTATTATCCCTGAAAAGCTACATAAGGGGAGAGGATATTTAAAGTGTTGTTAATATTAATTATCATTATTAACAAGCACATGTAGATCAAGGCTTGCTGACAAAACAAGGATTACTAAAGAATAAAATATACTGTGTATAAAAAAATTCTGAGAAAAAATGCCAAGGGGCCTACTTTTGAAAGAAGCCATCAGAATTAAAGAACACTGCCAACTTTGTACTTTTGATTAGAGAAAGAATGTCCTTTTGAGGTGAAGTAAGTGATTTGTTTTTTCAGTCAGCTGGTCTTTATTAAATAATTGCTGCTTCTAATATAATACGTCTACACTATAAGGCAGTACACTTTACATTAAATGTGAAGCTTACATGCTTACAGCAGAGCAGCTTATATGCTTGTCTAACAGCATGCCTTGAAGTAGAAAAGATACTTTAATGTTAGGATTTATAGAGTAGTTTTGACTTTTAAAAGCAAACATCTAACTAACACATTTAGAGAGACTAACGACTAAATTTTGCCTACTTTTCATAGTTTAAATAGCACCTCACCAAACTGAAAATAAAATTTGAGCCACAATGTAAACACCCCTTAAATTTATAAACACCTTTCTTCAAAGAAGTGCCCCCAATCCCCTTTTCTCAAAAAAGGGGCACATGGAGCTTATTCAATTTATTATTTAATTGGTAGAGTGCTGCACCGGTATCACAGAGGTCAAGGGTTCGAATCCCGTACATTTCAGGCTTTCTTTTTGCAACTGCAAAAGTTGCGTATATAACTGCGATGATCATCCTTCATTTAATTCTTCACTCCACAGTTCACATATATGATTTTCATGTATTCAAAACTTCACTATTATACCCTCTGCATAAACCACTCTTTAACAGTAACTTTAAATTAAGTCTATATACCCGGATATTATTTTTACCTCTTGTGAAGGAACAGCTTTCTAAACTTATCCTTTTCAATGTTGGTAAAGGTGTCATAAACTACTGCCAGAAGCTGTTATTAAAAGGAGAAATTACTGTCATTGAAACCCAAAAATGGTACGTTACGAGGCCACAAAATATTGTCTCTTGCAAAAGTTCAAAGGTTTGTTTTATTTAATGAGTCTTGCAAGTCTAAGTTTTTGAGTAGATCTTATTCTTTTCATGTCAGAGGTCTGAGTTTCCTTTACACTCCTTTGAAATCTATGGATGAAATGCTATTAAAGGAGTGACAACTTATTCAACTATACTGTTGATTTTACAAAAAATAAACAGTTGAAAACAGTTTTCTGCAATGCACGAGGAATGTGCTTTATTATCATTGTTATTATTATTATTATTTTGTCATAAATTACATAGTATTTTGCATAAAAAGAGCTCTTGGGGTTGAGAAGAAAAAAAATTATTACATGCAACTTTCAGCTTTGGAGACTGCACAGTCAAGTGAAATAAACAAAAAACCTCAATGTATTGCCACAAACGATACAACCTAGTAGAGTTCCTTCTTACCAAATTCATAAGGAAGTAAAGAGTTACTGAAATGTAGACGGCAAAGTAGATGACAAACCAGCGTGATCGATTGTAGGAAGGCATCATCACATCTGGATAGCTAACGTGCAAAGAAATATTTACATGAAGTATATTTTGGGAATTTATGTTGTCTATATATAATGAACAACAAAAATATAAAATATGGGAGTAACTGGTAACAGTGGAGCTAGGACTTCATTCTAAAGGCATCTACAGGTACAGGAGCCCATCAAATGGAGCCTCCATCTCCCATACAAGCCCTTGGAGTCAACCCTTTCCCGAGTAGATTTATAATTAGAACGGTTCCCGGGGAAGACTTCGCGCGCCGACGGTGGGAAGAGCCAATCACAACGACGAAATGACACTGCTATTGTACTTCATCAAACAGCAGGAAATTCGGTGTTGACAGGCCAAACACAATCATAAGCTAGTGAAACGTGACTTGAGCGTTTTCATCCCTCAGAGATTTTCTTTTTTTTTCTTTCTAGCAGGTAGATTATACTATGGAGAGTTTTAAACTCTGACTATGTAAACTTAATTTTGGTTGCTTGTCTCACATTATAAAGAGGCCATGAAGCTGGTCTGTTACATGCATACTGATTAACTACTACCTGCAGTCTGTAGTTCTGACAGGATTCGTTTTCTTTAGCCAATTTTTTTGAGCATTAAGGTTCTTATTTCGGCCAAATGACTCAATGTTACTAAAATTTCTAGTTTTTCAAGTTTTTCTTTTTCGAAATGTGTTTATCTGAATAAATACTTGTGGTCCTTGTGGTTGTTTTGTCCATCAGCTAGTGTGATGATTCCCTGCTATGTTTTGTAACGCCGGGCCCAGCCATTGTTTTATCGCAAAAAAATGATCTACGGATGCGAATTCGAAGGAAGGAATTGAGCCTAAACTTCTACATTAAGTGCTGAGAATTGTCCTGTTGGTCAGTCATAATTCTTTTGGCGCAGATACAATCCATTTTGTTTTTCTTGAGATAAAAGGGTCTTTGGACTGGAGTGCAATGTCACAAATTCCTCCGTTAGCAAATTACTTTTGAGTTAGCTTCACGGTCAAGCAACTGTTGTCTTCTGTTCAACTTTTCAAGTGCCAGTTTTATCAGGCAACTCTCATGGTGATGCAAGTCAGTTGTAAAGGAAGACTGCAATTTCTCAAATTTCGGAACTGAAGCATTCCTCGTTAGTCGCTACTTAGGTCATCGCTTTTGCACGCGGTCCTTAACTGGCGAAATCCACTCCGCGGTGATGACAAAAATCAAATTATCCTGGCACTTTTTCGGCGCTGATCATCGAAAAGTTCCAAATCGTCCACAGAACGCTTAATCGTCGACTCTTTTCTAGGTGCATGCTAAAATGTGGGATGTATGGCGGCAGAAAAAAAAGGAAATACTCGCAAAGATAACCTTTCCGTGATCCTCAGGTCGCTGCCTTTGTCCCATCGCTTTAAGCTCAGTCTCAGTCAGGTAATTCATTAACCTTTATTTCATGATACCCAGATCCCAGCGGCTGTAAAATTGTAAAATGGACGTAAAGTAAAAAAGGAAAACGGTCGAAGGACGGGCTTCTGAGTTCGACTTCATCCAATTTTATTTTTTCACCGTGACATACGAGACTTAAGGAAATATGACACTTTTCGCGGGAAACAAACCGTTCTATTTATAAATCTACTCGGGAAAGGGTTGACTCAAGAAAATAATGGAGATGGAGGCTCCATTTGATGGGCTCCTGACAGGTACTAATTTGTGGAATTCAAGTCTATCATCTAGGTTAATTCTCAATATATTCTGGGAGACATTATGGAAATTGAAGATCAGCGTACTGGTTAAAAATATTTTAGCCTGAAATCAAATTTGACCTTTAAAAAGAGATGCTTCTGTTAATAATCAATAACCTTTCTGCTTATTATTATCAGAAAATAAACATACTTAGCTGTAGTCAGCAACACAAATAAACTGATGAAACTTCTCCCAAAACTGCTGAAGAACTATTTTTACAAAAGTATTTGTCAACAAAGACTGCATTGTGCACTTAGTTTAGTTACAAGTTACACGTTTATAGCAGAATCTTTGTTAAGAACTGTCATAACTTGTGAACTTCATGGTAAATTCAAGCGTGAGCCAGAGAACACCCAAGACAACAGAGCACATGCCCGTTCTATTTTAATAGTATAAAGAACAGGAGTACTAACATTACCCTTGGATGGGATGCAAGTTAGTTCATGTGGGGTTGCCTAACATTAGAGAATATTAGCACCAATGACAAGAAAAGTAAGAGTACCTGTACAACACAAACTGTAACTGACTGTGCAAGCATTTGCAAATCTCTTATTAGTTTCTGTAATGACTTTCACCTTAAACTCACTTTAAGACAAATTGAGTAGCAAAACAAGATATGCAACCCTGCTTTAAATTGGTTTGTTGAAGCTAAAACAGGTAAGGTTGTTTAAATTATAAGCGTTTTAAGCTCTTAATCTATTTTATTCATTGTCTTCTTCCACCTTATTAATTTTCATAATCCAGTTTCTTTCACCTTAAGCTTCTTGCGGCAATTCCAGAGATTACGCTTGTCAATCCCAGGGTATAACTTGTGTTATAACTGCGAGACTGACGTGATATGTTGGGATCATTTTTAGTAATAGCTTAATTGCTGGTAACTCCTAATTAATATGAGAGAGATAATAACAAGCAAAGGCATACCTCATCTTCCTCATTGTCAGAAAACAAATAAAATCCTGTGAAGAAAGTTAACAGTTTCTATAAGCAAGAAAACATATGCCTCACCATCTTATGTTAACAGTAATGAAAGGGCTTTGTTGCCCCTAAGCTACATTAAGATGTAGAAAATAAATATTTACTTCAAACTCGGGTAAAAGACAGTTATTAATAAAAATGCAATTAAAGTGACCTAAAATACACTGCTAAATAGAGGAGATAGATTTTCTTTGTTTTATGTTGTCTTTTATGAGTAAACAGACTAGCTAGTTTCGCGACCTCTTACGTCGCCTGCCATTTACGGAAGAAAAGTTTATGCTAAAACATGGCTGTTGATGACTTTCCTTTACAAAACACGTAAGTTTGGATTTATGTTTAACTTATGGTGGTCTTACAAGTTAGTTTCAATTTTGAAGCCTAAGTTTTGCTGGCCATCAGACAACAAGAAAACTCCTGCACAAGACCGTCATGGGAGTTTGCCTAAAAAGTGGCTTGGCATTCTTCAACTGGTAGTTAAATAATTCTTTTTGAAAAAAGTTGCTGTCCCTGAATACACAGAAAGATGAGAACGCGCTGGAAAGATGAGAAACACTTTTCCAAAGAAAAAATCTGATGCTCCCTGCTGGGGAAAAGGCACATTTCATTTGAAGACAGGAACATCATAGATGTAAGGATACTATAAGCTTGGAAATATTTTGAATGAACAATAAAACAATCACTCTCATAATCATCAGCTTACCCAACATTGCAAATATCAGTATGACAAACAATAAAAGGATCAGCATATCCAAAATGGGGGAAGTGAGAGTAGAATTTGTCGAAGGGATCTGTGGGGCACAGAAAAAAAAGTCATATTCAGACAGCATTTAACAACCAAAGACAAGAAACTGAGCAGAGAATAAACTAAAAGAAATATTTCTTTGGAATTCCTGTAGAGGAAACAGAAGTAATGTAAAAACAAACTTAGTTATAGCCTAGGGAAAACAGGGAGAACAATATGCAGTGCTACAATCAATAATATAATTTATTATAATATAGAATGCATTTAAATGCAATTCAAAGTAGCTAACAACAAAGAGCACCTTCAGTGCTAATGCTTTATGGTTGGTCTATTTGTTCATGGCTAACATCATTCATGTGATTCCGTGGCACGAGGAGGTTCCTTTACGCAGCATTTTGTGCCAGAAGGTTTCCCTTTCAGCCACTTTTAATGCCCCACCCCCTCCTTGTTGTTTTTTTCCCACTGATATTTTTTCACTGTGACAGGTGCTTGTTTTTCCTTTTGCAGGTGCTCATGGCTGGGTTACTTGGTTGTGCTAGCCATGGAGTCATTATCCATTCTAGGGGCTGGCTACCAAAAGTGGAGCTACTGAAGGCACCCAACCTCCATATGGTGATGCAGTTGTTAAATTTTAAAATAATAACTAATACTTCCAAAAATGCAAAGCATGCCCAGTAATGCTCACCTTCTCACTCCGTAACAGTAATGAGTGTCTATCAGAAACAGAGGTCGCAGAGCTCGCGTAACTCGGAAGTGATTCTCCATTCTTATAAGAACGGTAATTGCTTCTGCATACATCACAATCAAAATAACAATCTATAGTGGGAAAAGAAAGAAATAAAATGGCAGGATGTGGTACCTCCAGCTTGCTTTCTAATCACAGCAATTCAAGCTCACGACTTAACATTTAATGAGCAACTGATTTTTTTCTTCTTTAAAAAACAAAAGAAAGAACATTTAAGGTTATTCACTTTTTTCATATTTTACCACAATGGCTTAAGGTGTTTATAAGCTAAAACACAATCCTCCTGCTTAAACGCTAGGTACGGTAAATAATATGCTGTATTCATAAAGGGTTAACTTACATTATTAAGCTGCTTCAAAAGATATATAAAACAAAATAACATGCCCTAAGTTGATCGCACAAACAGTACATCTACCCATTTCAAAGCTGACGACTTACATAATTTTTACCTGCCTCAGTGTGGAGTACAAAAGAACATATTTTGAAGGTTTACAAATTACATGGAAATTATTGATATTAAGTTATTATTATAAAATAATATTTAACTTGGAATAATGGGTAATGCTGCGTTTTTATGAGTTCAAAGAAACAGATGTTTTTTGTTATAAGATATACCACAACTTCATCAAGTTTGTAAAGACAACTGACAAAAAGTCGTGGAAAGTCATAAAAAGGTAGCATAAACATGAAACTGTAGGTACCAACTGTTAGCAGTTGATATGTGCAATAATTAGTGCAAAGCCTCTAACCTTGAAAAGTGTCCTCTTGTGAGTAAAGTAGAACTTTGCTCCTTGCCACTTAAGTTTCACACCACATCCACAAGCAATGACTGACAATGAAAAAATTTCAAGAGCTCCATGGACCTGAAAATTGATCACAAAAGGTTGTATGCATGAGATTACATCAAATCCTGACTTGCTTAGTTAGGAGATGGCCATTCTGACCAATTATAATGCTACTGAGCAAAAGGGCTTTTACCAAGTACTACGCTAAGCTTTTTTATTCTCATCATATTTCTTTCAGCAATGGCATTACCGTTGACTCTCTTTACAGACACCGCTATAAGAAAGACACTAAGAGTAAAACGGACATCTACAATTGGTCCCTGCTTTCCTATACTCCCTTTTTAACTCCCTATAAGACAGCATCACTCTTACTGTTAGACAGACACTTAGAGTGGGCCCCAAAGGTTTGCATCTTAAAGAAAGTTCACTGTTTAGGGAAAAATTTGATGATGGTCAAACAGCTACAAAGTTTAACACAAATACAAAATATAAATGGACTTCTCAGGGTGATGTACCACTGAGTGGAGGAATTTTTTGACTGCTTGTAGCATAGTCTGTGAATATGCTTTCAGACAGGCTCAGGTTGGGGGGGGGATCTGTTATATCATGAGTGGTTCTTCTACAGCATCAGATTAAGACCTAAAGTGAAAGCTACTCTGAGAAGGGGCCTTGGCGTTTTCATCATTACCCAAGAAGACTGAAAACGTTTAACCATTGCCAGATGAAAGAGCAAAGGCAGTTTCTCCTCAGTCATTTCAAGGCCCTGAGTGGTGATCCAGCCAACAACAACAAGCTTTATTTGAGAGCGAGGAATTGAACCTGGACCTAAAAGTGCACCGTCTAAGAGCCACCCATTTGAGCTATATGCCAGATGGTAGTATTAAAGGGGCTGTATCACAACAATCCAGTTCATTTTGTTTCATTTTGCCATTTACTTGCCCTCAGTCGCTATGGAACTTAAAGTAAACAAAGAAATAACATAGAAATGACAAAATCAGAGATTCGAGACAAACAGATATGTCTCCTGAGCATTATTTTTGAAGTTGCCAACAGCAGAGATGAACTTTGAAAAACTGTTAGGCTGAACAGTTTTCAAATCCCTAATTTCAATCCGTTTCAGTCTTCTTCAGTTTTGCCCATCCATGGCATCTGTTGTGTTATTTTAACCTTCCTTTAATGTTTTAAGCGGTTATTTTTAAGTTTCTCTTAATTTAACGGGCATTTTGTAATGACCTAATTTGACTGAATTTTGTGACACAGCTCCTTTAACTACTTACGGGTGCTGGCAAAAACAATATATCCTTAGCTGGAACGTCCCTATTGCCAGGTCTTTCAGTGAGTGCAAGACAAAGAAGAAGCAAAGAAGCCACCATATCCACCAAGTAGAAACATGTAGAGTGAGCTCGGAGGTACCATCGCATTGTTTCATGGGAGGGGTGGGTGTCAAATCGGTCATTATTCTGTCCCTCTTGGAGGAATATAGCAGCATCCTGGAAAAAAATTTTGAAATCACACTCATGCACAGCAGTAGAACTTTCTTGGGTACAAAGAAAGCCATATCAGATAACCTGGTGCTAGTTAATATGAGGCTAGTACCTTTCTCTTGCTCAATAAGCGGAGAAATAATTTTAGGGGGTATTATTACAGTACCACTCAAAAGTAAGTTGATACTTGAGAATCGAACCTCGCATTTCAAAGCTCAAACACTTCAAGTTTCCAGACGCGAGGATTGAGTCCCAAGTTTTGAGTTTTGAGGTTCGAGAAGCAAGGTTTTTATGTGAGATTATTTTTGTACAGTCACACAGCCGTTCAGAAATTTGCACCGTCGATCAGTGCTTGCGGTGCAGTGTACTGTATTAAACTGTTTGAATTGCCAGCTTTGGCAAGCTTTCAATAAGTGTAAATCAATATTTTCGGTTTAGGAGATTTATCCTGCATTAACAGTTTATGTAGTTTTTGCTTGCCATGTTCTGAGATTTTAACAGATGAACGGTGAGGCTCAGCAATTCTGTCACTTGCCGCGGTTTTCATGCAAATCTTGATAAAGATTTATATGATAAAATATCTTTGTCAAAAGTGGCATTTTTACAAGCATTTGAGTTTACTACTAAACACTTTCATGTAAATGTGGCTTAGAACGATTTCATACATGTGTTTAAACATTAAATGTAAAAGACTAAATTTTAGTCTTTTACTGGCCAAGTATTAAAATTCGAAAACACATCTCGGCAGCAAATCCCTGGCTTGTCACACTTGCATGTAAATCTACATAAAGTCACACAATAATTTCAGGGAAAACTTTATTTGTTTTAGGGACCAATCGGGGGGTCAGGGGGTCCAGAAAAAAGTGGTGTATCAAAACTTTACCCCTCCAAAAAATAATTACATATGAAAATTGAACCCCCCTCAGCAATAACAATTTTTAAAATACACCCCCCCCCCCCTACCCCTCCTAGACCAAGTCTCTTTTGCCATTGGGCATTGATTTCATTAGCTATAAGGGAGTGTTTACATGAGTCACCCTGGAGCAAGCTCACTTCCGTTCCCTCTCATGGCTCTACATTTGTTTACATGATACCAGCACAAAATGTCATGCCGGCCAGAGTCACTCTGGCATGAGTTCACCCTGGTTGTTGTACCAGGGCGAGAATTTCACTCCGGTACAAAAACTCGCAACGGTATCATGTAAATGTGTAATGACGACAAGTTTTGGTGCGAAATCGGTTTGCGAGCAGACTGGAATGGGTAGTGCATGCGTAACATTTGCGATTTTCAATCACACATGTATTTTATCAACATGAAGTGTACCTTCAAATAACGAGATATGAAACCACCCTGTCATTATGTAAACGTGATAAGAAATCAAAAAAGTCATGCCAGTATGAAACTCACACTGGCACAAGGTTTCTCATGTAAACACCCCCTAAGATACTGGTAGTTGGCAGCGTAGCTTGAGATTTTGAAGGTGCACACAGGGGAAGAAAAGTTAGCGTGCTGAAGGCGCCCCAAACCTGGGGGAGTCTGAGGGCATGTTCCCCAGAAAATGTTTAAATTCGGGGTCTCAGAAATGTCATCTCCTGCGTTTTCTGCAGGACATTTTCAGTAAATAAAGACGAAGGAAAATGCAGTAATTAGTTGTTTATTTTACCCATCTATCTCTAGTGTTATCAGTAAGGTACAGACTGTTTATGGCAAAAAAGGGTAAAACAGTGACGCCATCAGGAACGTTACAAGCAAAGGGCGAGATGTGTACCCTTCAGACGGGCAAACTCTGTTATAATGCCATCAATATCAATTACATTCTTGTGCTTGTGTACGTGCAGGATTGCAAGAGAGCTCAATCTCTCGTCTGTCACGGTCCTTCGTAAAGGAAATTGCTGTCCCTTCATACCAATGAAGCTACGCTCAGCTGTGCATGTTGACACAGGATAAGTCAACAAAGTTATGAGACCTACATCAGTGTTCTCTCCAAGCCGCGGCCTTGCAGGATTCCCGCAAGAAAAACTGAAATGGCGCATGAAAACCAAGAAGATGCACCCATTATTACGAGTCAAACGGACTTAAGTAGTTTTAATGGTCAACCTAACACTAAAGCATTCTGTTTGTTTGAATAAATAAAAAACATGATATCAAATGAGTCAAAGTCTTTAATTTTGTTGCCTTTTTTAATGGTCAACCTAACACTAAAGCATTCTGTTTGTTTGAATACATAAAAAACATGAATTTCTCAGAAGAGGGGGCCCTGGGACTCCCCAAAGCAAAATCCTGGTGAGAACACTGCTACATTATACTCTGGGATAGAATTGTAGTTGGCTTGGTGGTCAAAAGCCTCAACCAAAGTCTGTGGCTTCACATTCAGATCCATTTCACTGGACTTAACAAGGGCACCCAACAATGGTTTCCTCCAAAATACCTTATTCGTACTAATTTTCGTGAGGCTTTAATTTCGCGATTTTCGCGATTTTTAAAGACTCGCTAAAATTAGGATACGCGAAATTTAATACACTTCTATAATTGCTTTAATCAATGATTAACTGCGTTCACAGCTACATGGTAATTGTCATAAGTCTATTTATCATCTACTTCAGCACTTTCTTCATCCGAATCACTCATTTCTTCTTCTTGTACATGGAGCTCTTTTAAAACATCTTTTGTGTAGTCATCAAAATGTCCATTTAGGTCAGGGTCTTTATAATAATTATTAGCCAACACAAGCTCTTTGTATTTGTCAATTATCAATCTGTTCTTTGCTGTAGCTTCGATTTCAACCGCAACTTTAACTGGAATTTCAAGTCCTCCTTGTACAAGCGGTGATCTTCTGTGCGTTGTATTTATGACTTCAGCGACAGCAACCCCTCCTCTTAAAAGAAAAAAACATGTAGGCCTAGAGATCTCTCTGGGTAAGTGACCAATGATTGAGTCAGCAAGCCGTCTGAGGACCCATTTAAAGATATAGACAGTGCACCAAAGTAATAATATAGACATTGCATAAGGCTGTATCGGAAGACACACTTAAATTGTATTTGATTATTATTCATCTATAGTTTTGTTCTGTTTCAAGGGTGTTAAGCATTTATAATCATTACAGAACTGTGTGGCATAGGTATTTGAAATTATATTTTTACAATTGACTTTTATTAGTACAATATTGCAGTAGCATCTGATTGATTTGCAGTATTTGCATGTTTAGTCTGATTATCAACGCTATTTCTTTTACGTAATTGCAAATCATGATTGTAAATCAATCGTTATTTAAGTGATCAATCAATAAAAAGAACAGTTTTCTAAGTCTGTCTTTTGTCAATTTTCGTGAAATTAAATGCCCTAAATTTATCATTTTTTGCAAAATCGCGAAAATTATTGCTCGCGAAATATTTGTTTTCCAAATTCGCGAAATTAAGTGCCTGCGAAAATTAGTACGAATAAGGTACGTTGAAAACACTTTTTAGGCTACCAGTGTACTTTTAGATCTCTAGAAATGCATTCTAAGCAGTGCTACAAAATTTTTATCTATTCGGTCATCCTAGGGGAACCTCAGTCTTTTCGAAATTACAAGGGCTTCTGTATTATTTTTCCGAAAATTTTAGGTGCAATATAATGCACTAGTCATTTGTTTCCTCCGCCCCCCCACCCCCGCGATATTCGGGGACTTTGTCGGGCAATAGCGGGGGAATTACTGCAGCTTTGCGATGATTTTATGCCCAGACCCCCAGGGACTTTACCTCAAATTTGCCTGACCTAAAATACCCCCAGGAAACCCCGGGGGAATTTTCAAAAACAAAGCGCTCACGAGGAGACTGTGTGCAAAGGATTCTGGGTGCATTCCTCACAAGCAGCAATCCAACATGGCTACCAGAGAGGATAGCGTGACGAAGTAAGTGTCAACAATCCTTTTATATCCTTATGTAAATGAATGCATCCATTGATAAGCCTAATCGCATTTGAAAGAAAACACTTTGACCTTTGTCCAGAGACTATATATTCAACTGATGAGGTTCGTGAGGAGAACCGAAACCATGGTCTTGCCTGATCACAAACTGTGGCAATAACAAAACAGTTTAAAGACTGTTAAGCTTATTCAAAGCTATTACCAAGGGAGGAACTACGCGCTCCAGTCAAAAGACTCACACTATCTTTAGTAAAACACTAAGCTGGAGTTTACTGAGTCACAATTCAATTCTCCATAGTAAGTTTACAGTTAAGCTGCAGTTCACTCTTATAATTTTGGATCTGTAAGTCACTATCCGTGATAATTTAACATTCTGCAAAGAAAACTGACGAGCTGGGCCCAGCGTGATATAGCATTGCAGAAAAACATTACACTCACGGACTAAAGAAAATTGCTTAGATCAGATCCAGAAGGCACTTTGGAGAAAATTGGAACCCTTATTCAGCCGTAATAAAAAAGCTTTACGCTTCAAAAGAGGTCAAAGAAAATGCGCTTGCACCAGAGGGCAAATCCTGCCAACCAGAAAACAATAACTACAGTCAATCGATATAAATGTCATGACCTCTCAGTGTGAAACATGCGGCTAAAACCACATTTGCTCAGTAAAATGCAGAACCCTCCAGAGCATAATCTACCCAGCAGATACAAACAACTTTATTGGAATAAGCAGCATTTTGGCATGAGGTAAAAGTCATGTAGGCCTACCACCCCCTTTTATTGCCTAGACCCTGAAGCAAAGTTTGTGGTGTGTACACGTTTACGAGAAGCAATTCCCTGCGACTAGTCCAACCTAATTAGCCCAATTTAAAACGGCCCTTGACAAAACTCTTGTTTGGTGACTTAAATTTCTACATAATGACGTAAGCAGTTTCATGGGACTCGTCCCAAGGACGTGGCCCCTAGTGTATTAAAATACTCTGAATTTCTCGTCATGTGCGCGTTCTACCAATGTACTTTCTTTGTCCCTTTTTGCTTTAGAATCTCAAATGCCTTTTAAACCCCCGTAAAGTAGCAATGTTGTTGCCAACTGAAATTTGCACTTCCTTCTGAAAAGGCGAACTAGCTTATAGCTATCTTGAATTTATCTTCTTAATAATTTTGCAATCACAATTTCCTAAATCTTAGCCCCTTACTAAAAGTGCTTAAAACAAAATGTAGTACATATGCCCCGTTTTGTGACAGCCACCCATGTGGCCAGGTTTCTCTCGACAAGAACGAGTTCAAGAGGAGGTACCAAACAACTGTGTTTGTTGCTGGCATGGCTCACGATTTTCAAGTCTTCTCTCAGCTTATTGGTTATTCTCTCACACTATTTGTCTGATTAAAAAGCTATACTCCAAACAACCTCAGTGGTAAGTAGTTTAAGCTGGTTGAAACATTCCTAATAGTTGTTGTTTCTCAAAATGTATTTGGCGCAGAAATAGACAATCTCTTCTTTTACAAGGTCTTTCAGCTAGCCCCGGGGGGTGGTGGTTTTGCAAAGAAATTCTGCCCTGGTGGTTGGTGGAATTCCCCATAATTAGCATCGCTTGTTTGCAAATTCCCCCGCTATGTCGCGGGGGTGGGGGAGCGGGGGAAACAAATGACTAGTGCATAACGTTTTACAAAAGTGAGAATTTTTCTGATTCCTCTCTCCATCACATTTTAGCCTCCAGAAATTTTAGGTTTCCTTTTTTCTTAGAAAAATAGTGTAACCTGGGTGGTAAAATATGAAAACAAGAACCCCATAATGGGGTCACATTAGGTCTGCCGGTTTGCGTGACAGTTTGTCATGCTGCGCCAAAATTACATCCCAGCCTACCACGCAGACGTTCTTAGGGCTTCGTCACGCATTCTTTCCCCACTGCCTGACGAGCAAAAAAAGGGTCCGTGTAGGAGGCCAAAATTGCCCCCCATTTCAAAAATTCTAGTCGTGGTTATAGAAAGTATAAGAGATTTGAAATGCCTTCACAGACTGTTCGAATATTGTCGCCCCTATGGAATATTAGCTAGCGAAAGCGTAAACACGGCCTCTGAGAATCTGAATTACTTAAATATCGCACTTAATTAAACAATACCCCCACTAGAAAAGAAACTACATACATGTTTTCGGAACTATTCATAGGCAGTGAACGATGACAGATCAGGATATCACAATTCAAATACGAAACAATATACGTTTCACAAGCAATATTCCAGTAAAGCTTCCTTTTATGAAAAGCTAAAAAGGCGAAGAATTTATGAATAGTCTTACTTACCTCTAGTTACGATTCTAACCCGGTAAAAGTGTCACACAAAAACACCGCAAAAACACGACGTGCGACAGAAAACTCCGCCATCTTCTAAGAACAAACTCAATCGCAATGCACTATGGGAAGACGTTCACTCCTCCTCTTGGGAGCCTATTGTGACAAATGCCAGGGGAGGAGGGGGGATGTACCATGGATTCTTGCATGCGGCGTGAGTGTTAGTAACAGGTAAAGACTGGATCGAACCGCGGAAACCGCGCGTGAAAAGTGTCTGGCATTTTTTTTAATAAGGTGTGGACTTGAATGCAGCAATAATCAAATGGTTACACTTGAGGAGATTTGCCACAAATATATGCATATTCTTCCAAAATAGCATTTATATATTAGTTTTGAGCCAGACATCTTGGCGCTTGAGTGACATGACATTTATTATTTTACATAAACATTTTTTTGTAAAAACATGATAAAGGAATGCAGAGCTGTCGGTCCACACTGAGACGTTTTGCCGATTACTTTTTCGGTCCACCAACTTTTGTGTTTTAAAAATAACATCCTCTTCTTCCCCGTATTTTCCAGATCTTGGATAAAGATCTTGGATAAATTGTCTCTGAGATATTAAATATGCGTACAAATTCTAAATCTTACCTGGTTGCTAATCTTTGAACCAAGCCAAATTTAGAAGGAAATGGAATCTTCACAGCATAACTGGGCTAATATCTCAGAGACAATTTGGCCCGAATTGCTAATTTTTGGCGAAAGAATATCTTAACAAATCATAATTTCACAAAATTTTTATGACGAAATAGCGTAATTCAAGTTCATTGAAAGTCTTCACAAACGTGAAATAAAGATCAATAAATGTGAAATGACCCCAGAAATATTTGCATGAATGAATGCTTCACAATTGACTGGCTTTCTGCTAAAACGTGAGTTCAATCACGCCAAGAGAAAAATGTAAAATAATAAAATAAAAACACCATTTATCCTCGAATCGTTGCTTTTTGTCCTCTTCCAAAGGCCTTGAAGGAAGAAATTGTTTGCCAAGACTCGAGAGCTGAAGCTGAAGTTTGTATTCGTGCTTCCATTCAGCTCTTTTTATTTGATTTGATCACCGGCAAATCTTTGATACGGCAACGCCGACATAGGATTCAATTCACTCAGTTTCCTAGCCTTAACCATTAAACTTTAAAGTAATTTGCTGTTCGGTGTTCCTCAATCCATGTCATTTTTTTTTGTATTTGTTTATTATCGATACAGTTTATCACAGGGCACCCAACAACAATTTTCGGAAAATATCTGTTCCGAAGACGATTTGAGACCTAGAATTTTCCAAACATTTGTTGTAAAATTTCTTGCTAGTCTGCCTCTCCTAGTGTTTTGGAACATCTAAAAAATGGTATAATTGCCCACTTTTAACGGATTTTTACCCTTAAAAGGTCACCTAGAATTTTCGGGAGCCTTTTTTCTGGCTGAAATTTTCGAAAAGGTAAGTTTTGATCCTGATAATTTTCGGATCACTAGACTTTCAGCTAGGAAATCCGAACAGATGGAAAATTTCTAGGGGATAAAAATATGCCTATATCTACCGTTTAAATACTAAAATACGTTTAACAATGTTATGTTTAAGTAGTTTTGAACTATATTCTCGTTGGGTGCCCCTGCTTATCATAGAGCTCGAGTGGGATCCTTTGGTAAGATACATCTGTTGTTTTTTCATTAACACATAAAACTTTCAGTTGAACTTTTCCGACAACATCTGAGTTGTTTGTTTCCATACAGCAGTTCACAATGCAATGTTCAGTCATAGTTTCATCAATTGTAATCATAGTGTGCTCATCATCTTACAAAATCTTTGATTTCACGGACCTGTCCGTCCCCCAAATGCTCACAATCATCTTTTAGTGCGGACCTACCGTGAATGGACGGTGTATGGATGTGTATGGGGAGTGAGCATTACCGTGGTCCAGTCTCCAAACATTCCCTCACTTGATTCAAACGCGATCGATCGTCCCTTCATAAAGTGATGGAACTGAAATGCGTCTCAATCCGGGCTCTTTTTCGGTAGCGACAGAAAGTACTGAGGGGACGGGAGACAAGAGAAAGGAGCTTTTTACAGTAGGCTTACTTCGTGATCAATTTTTCCTGTTTTTAGGTGATAACATAGGATTAATAACTTCAGTTTTGTTCCCTTACACGATTTTTATCTGAAATTACCCACTCCTTCCCCTCAAAAATTGGAAGATTAGCAGCAACGCAGGGGAGGGGGGACGGGGAACCTGATCCGTCCGCAATTTTGTCTTTTTCCTGCACAGATAAGGCGGCCTCCATAATTTGATTGGGCTTTGCCCAAAGGGAAGCCTAGAAGTCCAATAATTAAACTTCAGAAAAACGTAGTGAATTTATTAGACAAGCTTTTAAAATTGTACATGAATGGAACGTTCATCTAGAAATGTGTAGCCCTTCTCCAGCAAAAGAAAATTTTAGGCAATCATTGCTTCTCCGAACAGATATTTTGTAGAAAACAGTCGTTGGGTGCCCCTGACTTAATGAGTAAAAGGATAAAGGAAATCCTAACACAAAAACACCAATATAATGCGAAATATTCATCCCAATTTAATGATCAAAATGCTTTCAGGAAATATAAAAAATCTCTATATTATTTTTTCTAGATTTCAGCTGTATGCATAGGCATATGTGCGTACATGCACGCTACATTCCTGTTAGTAGAAATAGCTGATAGATTTCTGGGCCAAGCTTTATACAGGTATCATTTTGTTTTGCTTTTTCTATTTTAGCCCCCGTTGAAGGTTTGTTTTGCAAACCGAAATATCGAGAAAGTATAATTCACCACTTTATTTTTGTTTTCTTTCATTTATTTTTTCTGTCACTCTTCCTGCCGTAAGGATCAGGTTACTGTTTTAAGTTTAAAATTTGGTACTCAAGATTTTACTGATCCACATCTACTAGGCGGACCCTCACTGGTTTGTCGTTGTGGTTTTGCCCTCACAAGTGTTTCTGATAACTTTTGTTGTTGACAAAGAACCGCCGAAGCAAATTTTTTTTGTCTACTTTTGAAGGAAACGTCGATTTGCTTCAATCATGCATAATATAGTTTGACAACTTTTACATAGAAGGCCAGCCCTGTGTCTTAATATTTCGACTCAACCTCACATTTTGTGCATTTTCAAAATTGACCCCCCCCCCCAAAAAAAAAATCAAGCCTCTTAGAAAATTGTTGAAATAATCATTAAAGGGCGCAGGTGCTGGTCATATTGTCTGCTTAAACATATTTTTGTCTGGATTTATAAAACCCTTTTTGAGTGGTTAATTGTTAAGAAAAAAACATAACATTGAGAGTCTCAGCCTTTATTAGGTGACGTTACACGGGACGATTAGCAATGACGATTTTTAAGCAAAGATGATTTTTTTAAGCATGGATGATTTTTAAGTACGTAACGTTACTGGTTCTATTGGATCTTAGCGCAACATTTGACACAGTGTCCCATGATGTGTTGCTCGATCGTTTGCATAATGATGTCGGTCTACATGGGAATACTCTGAAAGAAGTCAGCCAGTCTCTATACATGGTGCGCTGTCAAATTATTTTGACTTGGATTGTGGTGTTCCACAAGGCTCTTGCCTTGGACCTTTATTATTCATAGTTTACGCGTCTAAGCTATTTACTGTCATAAAGAAAAATCTTCCTAACGTGCACTGCCTTGCCGATGATACGCAGTTGTATCTTAGTTTTAAGTCTGACGATAAGTCCAATCTGGATGAAGCTATTAGTGCTATGAATAGATGTATCAGAGACTTAAGAAATTGGATGATTAGGGATAGGTTAATGATTAACGATGACAAAACTGAGTTGACATTAATAGGAACTAGACAACAATTAGGTAAGATCAATGATGTATGTAATATCTCTGTAGGTGATTATGATACTATCCTAGTTCCTGTGTTAGAAATCTGGGTGCATGGTTTGATAATAAGTTTTCAATATGTCAACGCATGTTACTAAAATCTGTAATGCCGCCTTTTAACACCTACATAATGTTAGAAGGATTAAGAAGTATTTATCTCTCGATTCGATTCTTTACTAACGCTTATTCATGCTTTTATCACTAGTCGTTTAGACTATTGTAATGGACTTCTGCATGGCCTTCCTAACTCGCAAATAGCCGTTGAAATTGCAACATGCGCAGAATGGCTGAATTACGTGATATTCAATCATTAGCTATTTTTAAATGTAAGCTGCAAACTTATTTATTTCGTGCAGCTTTTACAAAGTAACCTGTTCGACATTCACTTTATTAGTATTACTACTTAAAGTTTATTATCATTATTATAAATATTCTATATTATCATTATTAATATACATTGTTAATATTCATGTATATGTAATTAGGTTTACAAATTTGAATTTTATTGTAGTTTTTTAAGTTGTTAAGCGCTGTTGATCAGTGAATGTAAATAGCGCTCTAGAAGTTATTAAATTATTATCATTATTATTATTATTATTATTATTATTATTATTATAGCTCAACACATCGTTGCAAAGTTGGAACAATGTTGTAACTATTTGAAACAATGTCACAACAATGTTGCAATGCTGTGTTGTGCTAAAAATCATCATTGAGAATCGTCTCATGTAACATCACCTTTGCACCACAATGAAGTTGTTGTATGAAACTGCTTGCCCAGCCATGGGTCTGACAATAAGAAGGATAAGATGGCGACAAAGTACATGAAGATGGGTTGAAACTGCGACAGTGACGAGGAAAATTTTGATAACCGTAGCAAACTTGTACCGACAGCCAGGTGACCTTCCCTTCAATACGTGAAACAACCATTTTTTAGCCCCCACGTAGCCCCCACCCAACCCCAAAGGAGGCCTCTTTATTTTAATAGCATACCTGCCCACCCCCAGAGTACAAAAATCTGGAGATGTCAAGAAATCTTTGCATTGTAAGAATGTCATTATCGACAATGTCTGAATACTCTCCGGAAACCACCCGAAGACCTTCCGAATGTTCCTGACGTCGATAACGGTGTGAGAAAACCGCGCTAACTTTGTGACATGTATTGTGCAATTTGATTGGTTGATTTCTGACCAGTTGCGATACTCATTAAATAAATATTAATTTGATTTTCAGTTTTATATTTTCCGAATGAGAGCAGCTCAAATAAGAGCACTAATAATATACACGAGAAAATTACTCAATTCTGATTGGCTGAGAAAGGAGTGCAGATCTCCTGTAACACGAGTGCAAAACTTGTAACACGAGTGCAAATTACAAATGGTTTCTGATTGGCTGAAAACACAAAAGAAACCACCAAGAACCAATCAGATTAGAGTTGTTTTAACAACAAATTTAAGAAAATGGCCATGGTTTTCAGCAGACGGCGACGGGATTTAATTTTGAACGCAAAACAACGATAAAAAAGTTAACAAAATATTCCAAAAACCCGAACACAGTAAAAAGTACGTCTTTCAGGCTAAATATATTGAAAATGCGGTGCTAAGAGAAAAATACTGTCAACAAAATTTAGGAAAATGAGCCAGAGAAACTAAAAAACAAGCTACTTATAACAGACTACGCTAAAGTAAAAAAAATAAAGAACAAAAACGGTGGCAACCACACGCAAACCATGACAGCTACACTTTTCAGGCATTTAAATGAACAAGGATACAAGTTTTCGATGATAACAACAGGGATTTAAAGTCACGTACGTTATTTGTTGGAGAAGAAAGGTGTCCGGTTGCTTTCTTTGAGTCTTTTGCCGGGAGCAAAGACCTCTGCGATGGTCTGTTTTTTTCTACCTCAGTAGCAAACGAAACCGAAATTTAAACATCTGGTTCGAACTAAACCAATGGGCGAAAATACCATAACTAAGGTAATGAAAGTATCCGTAGCTGGTACTATCCTTAAAGAAAGTGAGAAAAAAGTTTACGAATCATTGTGCGAGAAAAACAACAGTCAGGAAGCTGAAGAAAGCAAACTAGATGGTAAGTTCAGAACATATCGCCAATATCACACGTCACAGAGGTATAAATTTCCTTAACGACTACGATGAAGCCGACGAAGAAGAGCTACGAGCTCTTGCAGTAGCTATAAATGAAATAATGAAAACCCCAGTGCTGAGAAAAAGCAAATATTATATTAATACTGGCAGTTTCCGACATCACAACAACTGTGGCTCCACTCACCCATTGATGGCAGCGTCGGAAGAAAACAAATTGCCTCCTTCATTTTCCGGTTTTAAATCTAAAAAATTTCTCCATGAATCCAGCTATGATGTGGTCTCAGGAACAGACAATGATAAACAGTCGTTGAAAAAATCTTAGCAAGTGTCTTTCATCTTTGGCTGTTCGAGGCGTTCTCCTGATTTCAAAACGGCAGTGCATACTTCTTGTAAATGCTTCTTGCAAACGCCGAGCTCGCATAATCGAGGATGAACTTAAAATACTTACTTTTCTGATTATTGTAAACCGAGTTACTTTTGACAGGCTGGTGATCGTGACCAAACAAAATCAATCCTTGCACATTTCCAAGTTCTAAGCTGAATGATTTTGAAAGCGTTGGCCTTGAAAAAGTGTGAATTTGACAAAGGTAGTAGTCTGTTTCAGCCAATCAGTACGCGCGCGTTGTTGTTGTACTTATGTTTTTCGGGTATATTATTAATAAGTAATCACATGATTTTTCTCGTGCAATTTGGAATAAATAAGCACTTGTAAATTTTTCAAAGTCCACAAAGTGCATTCGCCCTATGGGCTCGTGCACTTTTGTTGGTCTTTGAAAAATTTACTCGCGCTTATTTATTCCAAATTGCACTCGAAATCATGTGATTACCTATACTAAATACACTTCTTGTTTTATTTTCCGTTTTGACGTCTCAAAAATGACGAAATTAATGAAAAAAATTTTTTTAAAAGGCCTTGGTAGGTATTTCCCGGGAGATTTGATGCTCTAACCGGGAGATTTAATGAAAAGGGAAAACGGGGAGAGTTGGCAGGTCTTGACAAAGCCATTTACTTCCTGATAATACAAAACATGCTACATACACCTAATGAGCAAACTGATTGCTGTAATATACTAATTCGAGAAGAAAATAATCTGAAGTGGCTAAGTATTCTTAAGTTTGGCTCCAAAAATAATACACCCAGTAAAATTGTGGCATATTGCGCCAAAATAGACCCAAAACGAAAGTACCCACCACAACAAGTCAAGATCAAAACTCTAGGTGACTTCGGGTGACTTCTCGAGCAGAAGCAGCCAGAGTCACGTAGCAGTCTTTCCATCAGACAGTGGCACGGTATGATCTATTGTACCTGATAATCGGGCCGTTCCATCTCTCCTTTAACGAGTAGTGCTCGTCCTGAAAAAGCAAAAAGACAAGAGAAGTAAGGGACCCGTTGAATAGAAACTGTGTTTTAAGCAGTTAATATTAAACTGTATTAACCTTCGACATGTTCGAGAGTGCTTATCACCAAAACGTTGTGTTACCTCGCAAAAAACGTGTCGCCTCATTTTCCCCTCACATTTTCGCGACTTTTCCCCTCACATTTTCGCAAATTTTAGTGGTACCCCCTCTAAATCCTTCCAAAGTTTTCAGTGATCCCGTCTTTTTGTTTCTCAGTTACGTCTGATCCCCCCTAATCAATTGATCCCCCCCAAAATACTCCTCCCCCGCCCAGACGATAAATAATGACCGGTCCCTAACAAGAAAGAATGACCATTCTCTCTTGTCCCTAATTACTGCATTTTCCTTCGTCTTTATTGCCTGAAAATGTCCTGCAGAAAACGCAGGAGATGACATTTCCGAGACCCTAGATTTTAAACTTTTCTGCTAGGAGAGCACGCCCACAGACTGCCCCAGGTTTGGCAAGGGGGGTACAATTTTCATATGTAATTACTTTGGGGGATAAAGTTTTGATGCAGTTTTGATGCAGCATACTGATGCCCCCCGCCCCCACCTGCCCCCGGGAAGTAATAAACGATCGGCCCCTCGGTCATCGCGCGTTTCATAAACCAATGTACACGTTTTGTATGCTGCACGAAATGCGATGCCTAGTCCCAGACTTTCCCCAAGAGAAGGAAAGGTGATGCATAGCTCTAATAGCTCACATTCCGACCATGACTCACGAGAGTCAAAAAAGGAATAAATAGTTGAGTACGTCCAAATGTTAAGCCTGTAGGCAAGAGTCTCTGTCTAATGTTAACTGTACATGTACCACTTGATGTACCAGTTTGCTAGAAAGTTTTGTCTGTTACTCTAAGACTGAAGCGAAAGTCCAGTTACCCGGAAGTGAACCCCTTTTATAGGAAAGGGACTCGATGGTGATCTAGTAAACTCTGTGCTATATACAACCCTTTGCTCTAATGCAGGGCTAGTGTAACCTATTAGGAAAGGAAGTTTAAGTTTCACTTTGAGTCTTAACGATACATACATTACTGTTAGCCGGCTACAGCTCACAAACCATTTCGGCGCCAAGGGCGGATCCAGGGATAGGAGGGGTCAAAACTTGTGCACACCATTGAAGCTAGTTCTTTCCTGCATACTTCCTAGGCGTTGTACCCGTACATTATTTTCTAGTAAACTTTAAGTACGTAGATTTTTATAAACGATCTTTCAGTGGCCCCAATTTCAGTTTTCAGCGCACACTCGTTATTTTTAGAATAGAATTCTCTACGTTCATGGCGTGGGCTTAGGGGTACGACCCCCCCGGACCCTCCCTCAGGATCCGTTACTGAACGTAGTGTTAAGTTACTTTATGTATATCTAACTTACGCTTTATTCTGTATGGCTTTCCGCTGCGAGATCTATGTGGTTCTGCTGAAGATGTGCTGGGATTTCCACTGTTTCTACAATCACTTATGCTATTACTGGAAGTTGCATCGATCGTCTCTGTTGGGCTATTTTGTTGCTGGTTTAATTCTTTAAGTGCTTGTTCTGTCGATACTGCGCAAACACTGTCTGCAATGCAACGTTGACGAAGGTATCTCCTATCCTGTCAATACACCTTTTTTCTCTTACTATAATTTTCCCTTAATCTCGAAACTGCGCTCAAACTATTGTATTCTTCCGGCGAACTATCTTTCGCTTTCGATCAATTAGTGCGCTTTTAATATAATAATATCATTGTCAACAATACATAATCTAAAAGACAAAAGAAACGGCAAGGTTCAGTGGACAATTTGATTATTGTCATGAATATCATAGTTATTAGAGGAGACTGGTTATAAAAAGCGGCAAACATCAATGATAAAAACGACAGTGCTGCAGTTTATGTTGGAAGTACCGTGAAAGTGCACAATCCTTTGTTTTCTGTTGGCAAATTGTTACGGAGTAAATTAATGCAACGTTTTTATTGGTCAGGACAATCAAAATGATAGGAATTCTTTTGAACGTTGTGCACTTTCAGGTCCACAAAAACATATAACAAAGGAGTCTGACGGGTTTCATAACCATTCCACTCAATTAACTATGTGAATATCGAGACCTGACCATAAAAAACATATTGCTTATTCTAAGAACTTGGACTCTGTTCGGATAAACTCAGTTTTCCAAGCCAAGTTCTAGCGGTTACAGTCCAACCCCTAATTGCTTTTTCCTTGTGCTATATACAACCCTTTGCTCTAATGCAGGGCTAGTGTAACCTATTAGGAAAGGAAGTTTAAGTTTCACTTTGACTCTTAACGATACATACATTACTGTTAGCCGGCTACAGCTCACAAACCATTTCGGCGGCAAGGGCGGATCCAGGGATAGGAGGGGTCAAAACTTGTGCACACCATTGAAACTAGTTCTTTCCTGCATAATTCCTAGGTGTTGTACCCGTACATTATTTTCTAGTAAACTTTGAGTTCGTATATTTTTATAAACGATCTTTCAGTGGCCCCAATTTCAGTTTTCAGCACACACTCGTTAATTTTAGAATAGAATTCTCTACGTTCATGGCGTGGGCTTAGGGGTACGACCCCCCCGACCCTCCCTCAGGATCCGTTACTGAACGTAGTGTTAAGTTACTTTATGTATATCTAACTTACGCTTTATACTGTATGGCTTTCCGCTGCGAGATCTATGTGGTTCTGCTGAAGATGTGCTGGGATTTCCACTGTTTCTACAATCACTTATGTTATTACTGGAAGTTGCATCGATCGTCTCTGTTGGGCTATTTTGTTGCTGGTTTAATTCTTTAAGTGCTTGTTCTGTCGATACTGCGTAAACACTGTCTGCAATGCAACGTTGACGAAGGTATCTCCTATCCTGTCAATACACCTTTTTTCTCTTACTATAATTTTCCCTTAATCTCGAAACTGCGCTCAAACTATTGTATTCTTCCGGCGAACTATCTTTCGCTTTCGATCAATTAGTGCGCTTTTAATATAATAATATCATTGTCAACAATACATAATCTAATAGACAAAAGAAACGGCAAGGTTCAGTGAACAATTTGATTATTGTCATGAATATCATAGTTATTAGAGGAGACTGGTTATAAAAAGCGGCAAACATCAATGATAAAAACAACAGTGCTGCAGTTTATGTTGGAAGTACCGTAAAAGTGCACAATCCTTTGTTTTCTGTTGGCAAATTATTACGGAATAAATTAATGCAACGTTTTTATTGGTCAGGACAATCAAAATGATAGGAATTCTTTTGAACGTTGTGCACTTTCAGGTCCACAAAAACATATAACAAAGGAGTCTGACGGGTTTCATAACCATTCCACTCAATTAACTATGTGAATATCGAGACCTGACCATAAAAAACATATTGCTTATTCTAAGAACTTGGACTCTGTTCGGATAAACTCAGTTTTCCAAGCCAAGTTCTAGCGGTTACAGTCCAACCCCTAATTGCTTTTTCCTTGGGGAAAGAAAACCCTTGCCTCAAAAAAAGAGAATGAGCTAATTCTGTCTTGTCTTAATTCAACCCGCTAAACACCCTGTTAACACGGACACTTTCTATGGCCCCCTCAGTGTCCTTATTAACAAGGTTTGACTCCGTGTTACAGTCAATTGAGCAAGAACAACTAGCATAAGGTTGTTTAGACTAGGGATTCCCTTCTAAAAGAAGATGCAACTATTTTTTCAGTTAAGCTCAAAAGACTGTCGTATTTTAATTCAACAGTGATTTAAGGAGATGATAAACCGAATAGCAATGTGGGGAATAGGAATTAGAAGCCCACACTCTCACAGCTTACACGATTAGATTTTTTTAAAATAAATTTTTAGTGACCTACTTTCGTAAGTTACAAATACAAAATCATCTTATAGCCTCGCGAAACGTCCTCAGCGGCAGAGCGAGGAGAAACGACTGTTTTCGCAGGCTAATCATCTTACAGAGTATCCTGCTATTACGGAAAACAAATCACTTGAACAAAACTGATTGGCTAAGGGACGGACCATTAGAAAACTTATTGGGAGGCGGGAAGGGGGGGGGGGGGGGGGCGGGCGAAGTAACAAAAAAATATTCGCACAAGGGAAAATTAAAGTTTAGAGTTTAGGGTCTCGGAAATGTCATCTCCTGCGTTTTCTGCAGGACATTTTCAGGCAATAAAGACGAAGGAAAATGCAGTAATTAGGGACAAGAGAGAATGATCATTCTCTCTTGTTAGGGACCGGTCATTATTTATCGTCTGGGCGGGGGGGGGGCATTTTGGGGGGGATCAATTGATTAGGGGGATCAGTCGTAACTGAGAAACAAAAAGAGGGGATCACTGAAAATTTTGGAAGGATTTAGAGGGGGTACCACTAAAATTTGCTTGGAAAATGAAGACATTGGGGTAAGGGGGATCGTCAAATTTTATTAGGGGGGATCATTTCACTGAAGTAACCTTCAAACGGGGGATCGGCTAAATTTCACCTTCTTTAGCCCCAGATCCTCCGCCCCCCACCCCTCCCCCGCCCAGACGATAAATAATGACCGGTCCCTAACAAGAGAGAATGATCATTCTCTCTTGTCCCTAATTACTGCATTTTCCTTCGTCTTTATTGCCTGAAAATGTCCTGCAGAAAACGCAGGAGATGACATTTCCGAGACCCTAAACTCTAAACTTTTCTGCTAGGGGAGCACGCCCACAGACTGCCCCAGGTTTGGCGAGGGGGGTACAATTTTCATATGTAATTACTTTGGGGGATAAAGTTTTGATGCAGTTTTGATGCAGCATACTGATGCACCACCCACCCCCCCAACCCGCCCCCTGGGACGTAATAAACGATCGGCCCCTTGGTCATCGCGCGTTTCATAAACCAATGTACACGTTTTGTATGCTGCACGAAATGCGATGCCTAGTCCCAGACTTTCCCCAAGGGAAGGAAAGGTGATGCATAGCTCACATTCCGACCATGACCCACGAGATTCAAAAAAGGAATAAATAGTTGAGTACGTCCAAATGTTTAGCCTGTAGGCAAGAGTCTCCGTCTAATGTTAACTGTACGTGCACCACCTGATGTACCAGTTTGCTAGAAAGTTTTGTCTGTTACTCTAAGACTGAAGCGAAAGTCCAGTTACCCGGAAGTGAACCCCTTTTATAGGAAAGGGACTCGATGATGATCTAGCAAACTCTGTGCTATATACAACCCTTTGCTCTAATGCAGGGCTAGTGTAACCTATTAGGAAAGGAAGTTTAAGTTTCACTTTGACTCTTAACGATACATACATTACTGTTAGCCGGCTACAGCTCACAAACCATTTCGGCGGCAAGGGCGGATCCAGGGATAGGAGGGGTCAAAACTTGTGCACACCATTGAAACTAGTTCTTTCCTGCATAATTCCTAGGTGTTGTACCCGTACATTATTTTCTAGTAAACTTTGAGTTCGTATATTTTTATAAACGATCTTTCAGTGGCCCCAATTTCAGTTTTCAGCACACACTCGTTAATTTTAGAATAGAATTCTCTACGTTCATGGCGTGGGCTTAGGGGTACGACCCCCCCGACCCTCCCTCAGGATCCGTTACTGAACGTAGTGTTAAGTTACTTTATGTATATCTAACTTACGCTTTATACTGTATGGCTTTCCGCTGCGAGATCTATGTGGCTCTGCTGAAGATGTGCTGGGATTTCCACTGTTTCTACAATCACTTATGCTATTACTGGAAGTTGCATCGATCGTCTCTGTTGGGCTATTTTGTTGCTGGTTTAATTCTTTAAGTGCTTGTTCTGTCGATACTGCGCAAACACTGTCTGCAATGCAACGTTGACGAAGGTATCTCCTATCCTGTCAATACACCTTTTTTCTCTTACTATAATTTTCTCTTAATCTCGAAACTGCGCTCAAACTGTTGTATTCTTCCGGGGAACTATCTTTCACTTTCGATTAATTAGTGCGCTTTTAATATGATAATATTATTGTCAACAATAAATAATCTAAAAGACAAAAGAAACGGCAAGGTTCAGTGGACAATTTGATTATTGTCATGAATATTGAGACCTGACCATAAAACATATTGCTTATTCTAAGAACTTGGACTCTGTTCGGCCAAACTCAGTTTTCCAAGCCAAGTTCTAGCGGTTACAGTCCAACCCCTAATTGCTTTTTCCTTGGGGAAAGAGAACCCTTACCTCAAAAAAAGAGAATGAGCTAATTCTGTCGTCTTAATTCAACCCGCTAAACACCCCGTTAACACGGACACTTTCTATGGCCCCCTCAGTGTCCTTATTAACAACGTTTGACTCCGTGTTACAGTGAATTGAGCAAGAACAACTAGCATAAGGTTGTTTAGACTAGGGATTCCCTTCTAAAAGAAAATGCAACTATTTTTCCAGTTAAGCTCAAAAGACTGTCGTATTTTAATTCAACACTGATTTAAGGAGATGATAAACCGAATAGCAATGTGGGGAATAGGAATTAGAAGCCCACACTCTCACAGCTTACACGATAAGATTTTTTTAAAATAAATTTTTAGTG